AAAGTTGAAATGGTAAATTGGCCACCGTAACGATTACAAAAGCTGACGTTTCGAGCGTTAGCCCTTCGTCGGAGCGAATGACGAAGGGCTCTGACGAAGGGCTAACGCTCGAAACGTCAGCTTTTGTAATCGTTACGGTGGCCAATTTACCATTTCAACTTTTTTGATATATCCAAACTATTTTCTCTTTGTATAGACACGATCATACTGCTTCAATAACAGAATTCTCTAACTTTTGATTTCCGATTGATTTCGCCCGATCACGTAGCTAAAAGGCTTGCTCTCGTCTCATTGTCCCAGCGCTAATGTGGTTAAAGGATTATATTCGATGACAAAGGAAAGCAGACGCGCGTGTGCTTTCTTAGCCACAATTATCTAAAATTAAGCATTTGTCAACGGCGTGCAAAACAAAAAATAAACTGGTCTTGAAAGGCAGATCCCACACTATTAGAGGCGCCAGATATTCAAGAGACAATCAGTGAAATAAATGTAAAAGCTGTTCACTAAGTGCGATCAACTATTAGTGAGGTAAAGTGAAGGTTGAGCGAAAGGAGAGAATAGGTATCGTTTTAACGGAATTGAGGAAAAGTTCCCAGTCTGTACGTTTCATTTCAAATCTGTCAATCTTAATGTTTAAAAGTGCCAAAAGGTATAATGCAGCGGCTTCCAGCTTTTGCACAAAAAAAAATTAGACAACTCACCTGCCTCGTCCAAAATTATAAATGCTACTATCCAGAACAGTATTGTTGAAAAGGGCGATTTTACTCTCACTACCCAAAGAAAGCTTCCCATTCTTTAGCTTCCGATGTCGATGAGTAAAGTTTCGAACAAAATAGCGAGGTCCTTGATATATTTCTATGATAGTGAGCTGAGCGAGTTGGGCTTACGAAAACGAAAGAAGAACTTATAGTCAATGGCGGTCAGAAACAGGGCGGAAACTAACGAAAACAAGCTATTAATAATTTACGCATAAGTTATCATTTTGACAGCGTGCTACGTAAGACGCCTTCATTGGTAGCTCAGGGTATCCTTTTCAGGTACTTGAAAGCAGCCCCCTATCAGTAAGAGCCCTGAGCCATGACGAGCCGCATAAACTTTTTATTGCTCGCATTCAGGGTACCACCATTGCTGAGGACGCTTTCTATATGGTAATTATTATAACACCATCTCCCGCAGGGAAAGGGAAATCAGTTTTGCCGACTCTTGAATCCAATCAGACTTTCGATGAAATATGACAAAACTTTGTCTCTATGAGCAGTTTTTGAAAATATTGAACAGAGACATTTAAATTACTTTGAAATTCTAAGAGATCAACGAAGTAATGGTTAAACTATATCGGAAAAATAAGGGCAAACTGAATATCTTCTGATTTTATTGAAGAGATAGTTTCTTTTGCAGCCGTTCCCTAGGATATTATGTACCGCTCCTTTACGTGACTTCTAAACCATGCACCTTCAGTGTGTGCACATTCAGCGTTATGTCAACATTTTGCTTTTCACTCTAGAGCGTACTGCCTGCAAGAAAAATATTAAAAACATTCTAGTCTAATAGCAGTCCCTCCTTTTCGTGGAAGTCCGCCGCGCGAGTCAACAAATAGTACAATAAATTTCTTCCATGTCACTATCTTATCCATAATATTCACAGCTATGCAAAACTTTCAAAACCGAAGTTTTAAACTTGCACCCAGGCAAAATATGATTTTCATCAATAAAGATTTACAAATGCAATAACTAGCAAAAACTAACGATAAAAACCGACGTTTCGGTGTCATCATGACGCCATTGTCAAGGAGAAATAAAAATAAAGTTTGTGGCAAGGTGTAACACTAAATTAGCATAAATATGTTACGAGCTAATTAAACAAATACTTTTTCGCGAATTAAATCGCTTTGCACGTTCAGAGTGGGTTTTAAGTCTCTGATGAAAAGCATCTCGTTCACCAAACAATCGAACTTGTTACTACACTTTTTCAGAATGCTAAAACGTTTCAGTAGGTCTTTCGGGACTTCGCTGTGCCGTTCGTGGTAGTGTTTAAATATTGAAGATGCCTTTCGTTTATGTCCATCCACGCGTGGATGGACATAAATATTTAAGTTCTGTGGATCTTATGGAGAAAAAAGCAAAAACAAAATAGCTTTGAACATATCTCTTAGTATTTTTAAAGCAGAGCGACTAATGGCAATTTGTTGTCTGATATAATGCAAGGGACAATCTGTACAAAGCTTCAATGTCCATTCAAACCGGCTTTATTTGTAATCGTCTACGGATGTCAGACAGTTTGGAAATTGTAGCTTAAACCACTTGCATTAAATAATGGGAAGATCTAGGCAAATCTTACTTGAAAATGGCTTTTTCTCCCAGTTGAAAACACAGTTCAACGAACGTACTATACAGATCTCTTTGATCTGCTTCCTAATTTTCGCGCGAGAAAATAAATTTTTCAAGGCTCTACTTTAGTAATGAGAGGGTCTGGATTGAGTTTATTTCCCGTCAAACATTGCTGAATTAGAAACTGACTTTGAGATTTAAGATTACTCACTTTGGCTGGGTTGTTCAATTCAGCCCTGCAAAGAATGATCAAAATAATCTGTTGGCAATTAATTGAATTCAAATCAACAACCATGCCTTAATGCTTGACATGCCTCACTCTTACATGTCAGTTGTGTATACTTATCATAATAGAGGTTTCATTTAAAAAAATATTTGTTACATAGCTGTTATTCTCTGTTGATCTTTGTAGCCCAAGAGGTACTAAAAGCAAGGAACTATGCATTTTGTGCACACGAGGCCCTCTCCAAGGTGGAAAAATAGAAACTTGTTTACTAGGCACTTGTTCTAACCGCAGTGATATATTTATCAAGCTACATGTACATGTATAAAACTGATTACCTAAAGTCTTTCGTAACTGCGTACATTTTATTTGTCTTTCATATTTCTTGTCAACAGAAAGCTAAAGAAAAAAGAAAAGAAAAGAAAATACATGAATAGAAAACAGCGAAATTGGCAAATTACAAAATTTACCTGATTTGACAGAAAAAAGTAGCTAAGAATACTTCAATAGTGCCAGCTAATTTCGTCCATTATCTTTCATGTTTTGGAGCAAATAAAATTGAATAATCAGTTGTAGAATTTGCCTACAATATGTCAAATTACCAGTGGGGACTTCATTCTTCCCAGATTTCAGTCGGTAAAATGTTGCTTCCAACATTTTATTACCTTTTACATGAAGGTACTAAAAAAAGATTGGTGTAAGAAAAATCATACAACATCGAAAAAACCACTTTGAAGTGCTGCTATTGGTCATAAAATTTGAAGTGATTTGGTTTTATTATTGGGTTGTGTTGTGACTAATTGGGAAACTTCAGCACTTCGGAAATATGTCTTGGCCTGTAATTGTGATGATCACAGTTTGTTGAGGTAATTAAAATGGCAGCCCCTTTACAGGACTGTACTTTCCTTATGACCTGTACATTCACACTCTTAATAACTAAAACATGTATTTGTGCTTGGCAGAATTAACTGTAAGTTTAGTGGCCCTAGTGACAAATGATAATGATTTCCTGTAAGCATGAACGTATTAGAGAAGTTTTTGCTAGGATGTTGCACAGGGTTTGATAATTGCAATTCCTATTTTTTTTTTAGCTTTAAAACTTTCAGCTTTGTATTTAATGTAACTGTTTACCATATTTATTTCTTTAAGCCGTTAAAAGTTGTGCAATATAATGCAGCAGGCATGTGCATAACCCGACTACCGTTGTTTAGAATTTAGTTTTATATATTTAACACATTCCAGCATGCTATTTGGATAGCACTGAATATTTAAGTTCAAGCTGTCTGAGTAGTGAACAGTGTTCTTTCAAATGCTGCTACCAATTCCACAAGGAAACCTAGATATAGGCAGTAATAACCACAAGATATGTGAGTTTCTAAAGGTAGGGATCTAGAGAGGCAAGGATCCTTGTTTACTAAGGAATGAAATTAGTGAGCGCCCTCCTCCTTTAATTCATGTTTTACTTTGACCTGCCTCCCCTACTTGACTGTTTAGAGGGCGAATTTACAACGCGCATATGGGTTAATGTAGGTGTTGTTAAAAGCTGTTATGAAGCTAAATTTTGTCTGGCTTTTGCTTTCAATTAACAAATTTCTTTTCGACAAATCTTTTTTTATTCAACCAATGCTGAATTATTCGATCTCCTTATATCAGTTATGAAAAGGTCTTTCTAAAAACAATTTTATATTTACATAAAATATTGCAGATATACATGTACAAAAAAGTGGCACATCAAACTTTCCCCTGACTCTGTTAAAGGTTATTGGAAGTTACTGCATTAGTGGAAAAATGGAAGGCAAAGCTGTGCGTTCAATGTATAACCTGAGTTTTGCCTTGAGTTGGCCAATTTTAACAAATAATCAAGCCTTTCAAGGTAATCTTATGTTAAAATTTTGGTAGAGTGAACCAGCGAAAGTCTAGTACTAGATAGTGAAATGAATACTTTTTATAATTAATACTTTTCTTCATTGTGAATGTTATGTCTCTCTCTATTCTCAAGTTTGAAATAAGATATTCTAGTTCTAGCTTGTGTTCGATTAAATCGATCTTTCGCATGGCAAGAAACAGGTTGTAGACAGATTTCATATTTCAGTGGCTAGAGTTGCTAAGGTCGTGGACGGGTTAGGTTTAAAGACACTGGCATAAGCAGGGGAGGTTACCAGATTAAATAACAGAAAAATCGAAATTTCCAGGCCGAAGACAATCACGAAACGCTAATACCGTAATCCAAAGAGAGGACGTTAAAAGTTGAAAACGACTTTAGTTTATAATTTTCTACACTCAGTATGAGAGGTTTGACACGTTAGGAAAAAATGGTGGTGCAGTCAGTCACACCTTGCTACATCAAGAGAAGATTTAAGAGAAGCTCATTCGATTCTGGCGAGTTGTTTCACTGACTCACTGTACTTACGAGTACCCCCTCGATCAAAAGACCTGTGATATCTGAAATCGAAGTCATTTACCTGCCTTTCTTTCAATTTTGGCTCATTTTTCTAAATTGAAATATCAATCACGCTCATTAAAATATCATTTCAACCGATACTGACATCATGCAGGAAGAAACCATTCCCTATGGTCAAAAATATGTTTGAAACAACTGGAGCATCAACGAAGGTCTTCAGTTCCTTTAAAATACTGCTTACAAGAGTGCATTTCGATGGCTTTGCAATTTATTAGGACATCGTCCCTCGACTAGAACCCATCACTTCACCCCAGCTCCCTAGATTCTTTTGAATAGTACTGAATAAGCTCTTCGACAGCCAATGCTGAAGATTCTGATAAAGTGAAGGGGTCCGGAAAATAAACAAACTGCAGCTTCGCTTGTAGGCTTGGCTAAATCAGTACATTACATCTGAAACGTACCTAAGTAAAGAAAATTGGAAAACTGGACTGAAAAACTACTTTTGTTAATTAAGCGAAGTTTATGCAACTGAAATGTCTAAACGAAGCATATTGCCGAAATTAGATTGAGAAACTACCGCCTAGCAAATTAAAAGCCCTGATTTTCACGTTTCACGCTTCACGTTTGATAAAAACACACAGAGTTTTAGAATACGGTCAAAGAATAAAGGATGTTTGGATGAAATGTAAGAGAAATAAATCTCAGAATCTAATTTCACCGCAAGCGAAAAGTCAACGATCGAGCTTGTCTCCTCGTCTCATGGCTCACCTAGGTGCCAAGAGCTTTCTGATTGACTTTCCTCCAAATTGTTGTGTAGCATGGACTCTACGAGCTCGCTGCTCGTTCAAAATTCTAAAGCTATCTTTGCTCATTCCATGTTTCCAAAGTTGATTTAGTAAGCCATATAATATGGCGGCTTTCCTTCCATTCAGGACGACCTCTTTTCGATGGCTTTATCGCGAACGCGGAGTGAAGACGACATAAAATATAGTAAATAGATGATAAACACTTAAAGAGATTAAGCGAGGTTATAAAAAGCCGTTTTTCGATTGCAAATATTTAGTCGAGTGATAATGCACACACGGTAGGCTTACTATTTCTATGATAAAGAAAATCCCGAGGATGGGAACTTTGCCCGCAGAGCATTCTGGTTGAGTATGGCCCTCGAGCTCCATTGTTTATTTGTAGTTACCATGACGAAGATGAATCTTTAGATTTAAAAAAAAAAACAAGGCCAAGGTTGTATGTTTCATTGCTCAGATAGTTTGCTTGCATCCAAAAATTTTTTGTGTAATTGTCATTTCAGACTTTGCTTGCTTTTCTAAGTGACTTAGTCTTGAGTTTTTGCGACTAAGCATTGGATGATACTTATGAAAACAATTTAAGAGCCGCAGGATTGAAGGAGCTTATTCAATTACCACCAACTGACGCTTATTTTGCATTTGAAGGGTTGAAAAAACATAGCCTAATTATTCCATTTACAGCAGGTGAAACATTCACAGTATACTTACGTGAAGGTAATTTTGTTCGCGTGTGTGCGTGTACCTTCGGAGGACTCTAATTTCCGAATATTCAGAGAACTGGGTAAAGAAGATTCTAGTTCGTTACATAAGAGCGATTTGTCCCCGTGTCTGATCGTTGCACAACAAAATAAACCAACGCTTGATTGTGGGAAATATCTAAAATAAACTGGTCTTGAAAGGCAGAACCCACACTATTAGAGGCGCCAGATTTTCAAGAGACAAACAGTAAAATAAATGTAGTTTGAAATTAACCGGTACTGTTTACAGCAAGGACTGATTATGAGAGGGTTTAAAGAAATTACTGAATTGTTAAAAAAAAAAAAATCTCGTCAGTGAGCTTTTCATCATTGGCTGAAACACACAAATATGTAAAAGAGGCATTGTAAAACCGGTAGCATCTCGGAATGCTAATGAAGGTTTAGAGGTACAGCTTCCATATTTAGTCGAGTTTTCTAAATTTTTCATGATTACGGTTTGCTTCACATTTTACTTTTCTACACTCCCTTGGATCACTTTTTTTTACAGACTACATTTACATTTGTTTCTTATTTGGTCTTTTACCTCTAGCGGGTAGTATCTTTAGGGGCTCAGATAACACTACTGGTTAGAGGTACGGCTTGCATATCTAGTCGACTTTGCCCAAATTTTACCACGGTTTTGCTTCACATTTAACTTTTTTGCATTCCCAAATTAGTCTTACACTCCTTGGAATCACTTCCATTTCAGTAGAAGTGTGCGATATTGCCTCGTAAGAGTTCTGGTGTCGGCCATGTGGAACAAAAAAACCTCATTAGGTATGGTTGGGGCAGGGAAGGTAATGGGGAGATGGGGTTTCATAAATGTTAACGTATTTTTGGAAAAAAAAAGGGGATTTAAAGGAGTGTAAGACTAATTTGGAGTGTATAGAAGTCAAATGTGAAGCAAACCGTATACGTCAAATTATCTGAATCGATTACATAAAGTAGGTAAAGGTAAAGTCTAATTTGAATATATCAGTAAAGTTGAAATGGTAAATCGGCCACCGTTACGATTATAAAAGCTGACGTTTCGAGCGTTAGCCCTTCGTCGGAGCGAATAGGGGAATTGTGGGTTGTGTGTGCTTTTAAAGGCAAAAAAAGGAGCTACGTGATTGGTGGGAACATGGCAACGAGAAAAACACGAATAAATTTTATAATCGTAACGGTGGCAATTTTCCATTTCAACTTTGTTCATATATTCAAACTATTTCGTTACCCCCACCGTCACAGTCCCAAACAGTTTCTTTAAAAATTATTAGCCTTTATTCAAAGGTAAAGTCCGTTTACGAGCCTAGTGGCCCATTAGGCCGGTGCTTAACTCCGGTTTCTGTTGTATGAAGCGACTAGGAGTATTTCTGCTCCCCCTCGATGGGATGCCAGTCCTTTGCAGGGTTACCCCCAGCATTAAATTTTCGGTACCCATTTATACACTCGGGTGAAGAGAGGCACTGTGAGAGTAAAGTGTCTTGCCTAAGAACACAACACAATGTCCCGGCCGGGGCACGAGCCCGGACCACTTGATCCGGAGTCGAGCGCACTAGCCATGAGGCCACCGTGCCTCCGCATATAAAGTAGAGCAGTACCAAAGTAATGAGGGTATAGTTAAGACCCAGCTGAAAATCGAAAAATGCATATCTTGATTTTTCTTAGATCATGCGGGGATAACAACTGCACCACTGGACCAGACAGTCCAATTAACAAAAACTGTGCCATTTTATCGTTGGGCGGATGGAAATCCAACACCAACCATTACTTGCGTCCATAAAAATAGTGTTGGGAGAGGAAACAAGCTACATTTTGGCTTAACAAGGTTTACCGACGCTGGGTGGTATACATATGATGCAGAAACTGGGATAGGCGAACGAGCATACTTTGTAATTGCCAGTAAGCAATACTCCATCAAGGATTTTCATGTTAAAGGGAGTGTTTGGGCGTCCAAATTAATAATAACAGCTGCCTCTACCGGCTGAACCAGACTATCTAAGGCTCTGTCAACATGTAGCACTAGAAGTAGTAGGAGTACGAATGCCCGTAGTGGTAGCAGAAGCGGAAAGTAAATCTCCCTTACATATTTGTTTCCCTCTTCCATGAGTTTCTCATGGTTCAGAACGAACACCAGCTCACCTCTCTATATGTATTCTTTGCTAGTTTGTCTCTGAAAATCAAATCACGGTTAATAATCAGAGGAAATGGCTTGCAAAGCGATTCCGAATAGTGATTTATGGGCACGAATCATGCATTTAAGAGGTTTTTGTTGTTGCACAAGCCTGAGCTATGAGGCCGGGTTATGAAGCATTACGAGTAACCATTAACCACGGGATGCACTAAAAGCTCGTGTTAGTTTTCATTTGTCTATTGTACATTCTACGAAAAGAAGTCGCTTGTCAACATGTCTTTTTTTTTTTGCGCTGCACATCCATATAAACACTATTAAACTTTTTAAAACACGTTATTTGTGAAGTAGACATTTTGATAAATCAAATTGACGTTCTCTTTATTGGCTTTATTGGTAGGAAGTGAAAGCAGGCTCATCAGTGGAAAGATGGTGATCTTGAATGAAAAATTTGACGTTGGCTTATTGAATAAGGAAAGAGAAAAATATCACAATTTCTCCAAGCGTATTGCTCAGGTGGTGACTTGTATATCATGCATATGGTTGCTATAAAACTAGACATTTTTAATCATAACATCAAGTTGTGCATTATATTTACCTTCGTAACTGCTATAAGAAAGCAGAGTACCTCAATTTCCACAATGGTAGTAGGAATGAACTAAACGATGCTCATGACAATTCTAAAAAAGTTAGTCAGTAGAATGTACAGGTGATTGCCCCCGCTTCCCATGAATACCGTACCCTCAAACGATAATCGTTGGTATTTTGGAAAAAAAATTACAGTGCTTTTATTAGAAGGCATGAAGGATTTTTCTCCACAAGATATTCTAAACTGGTACAATTAAATATATGAACTTCATATATTTAATTGTATCTGATTTGTCACTTTCACGGGTTTATTACGAATCAAGTTAACGGCCTGCTCCCAGTAGGCTTGTCAGCTCAATTGGTAGAGCGCTGCACTAGTATCGCAGAGGTCAGTGGTTCGAATCCCGTACAGGCCTGATTTTTTTCAGGTCTGATTTTCGCTATTGCTTAAATAGCGCTATCTACTGCGAGGAGCGTGCATCATACATACTCTAAACTATTCCAATCCATCAAACCTCCATAAATCAACATTTTTGTTGGAATTGGTTGGATG